CCTTTCCTGTCATTTGTGTTTGTTTTGATCTTTTCAGTTTGAGGGTAAGGAATGCATGCGAGAGTATGGAGTCAAGGTTAATCAAGAAAAAAGATCGAGTCTAGGCAAGAAAGAATTAAAAAAGAGAGAAGTTTTAAGTCTAATTACGAGTCCAATAATGAAAGGGGATATTGAGAGCTTATTTACTGAAGGAAAATGAGGGAAAATATCAATTTGATATTACCCACACACCTGAGCAATGGACTTGGAGCAGAAACAAAATTTGTCAATTCAGCGATGGACTCGGCGAGTGCATATATGGGGCTCGACGAGTCCAAGTGTAAAAACTTGACTTATTCCAGCCTTACGCTTCAACTCGTCGAGCTACCCTAGGAACTCGACGAGTTGACCATTATTTTTTCTTTCAAGCCAAGGATTTGATGATATTTGACACGGTAATTGGCTACATTTTTGAAGATCATTTTCCGAGCATTTCCAAGAGTTTTTCCATCTATATTAGGAGCTATACCACACGAGATTTGATGCCCAAGGCATGGATGAGCTGTTCCCATGCCTAAAGTCAATTAAAGATGGAGCTTAACAAGGAGAAGACCGACCTCGCAACTACTAGCCCAGGACAGTTTGTTCCAATCCCCTCTTTATATTTATGTTTTCTTTATCATGCATAATATGCAATGGGTACATTGCATAAATTAAGTGTGGGGTAGGGGCTGGTTACATTTAGTCAAAATTTAGAATCTTAGATTAATTTTAAAAATTTTTGCATAAAAATTGCTAGGGTTAATTTAGGAAATTTTGGTAAAAACAATTAGGGTTCATGCTAGTATTATGTTTAATGATCCTTTGAAGACCCATATGTTTAGTTGAGCTTATACACGTTATAATGCATTTGTGACATCCTTTATTCTAGTGAAATCATGGGACAAGAACACAACTTTTCTTAGTTTGAGGGATGCAATATGTTTAGCATCGTGTACTTGAAATGTATCCAGGAAGACTAGTACCTTTAACCAATAAAGATTGAAGTTGAGCGCCTTTGCTTAAACATGTAGGTATTGAGTGAAAAAAGTGAGATACATGTTAAAAAAAGAGAGAGAGTTACAAGAAAAGTTACAAGAATTTTGGAGTAGTCAAAGTATGAAGATCAAAAGATCAAAATTCTGAATAATCAAAAATTTGAAGATACCAAAAATCAAACAAAGAAGGTGATGAATTCAAAGAGATCAAAGATCAAACAAGCAAAGAATTCAAAGAGCTCCATTGTGGTATCAAAAAGTTGTAATTTTCCAGATTATGTATGCTTGACCAAAAATACCTTGAGTTTAAGAAAGTTTTATGAGGATGGATTCAGAAGGATGCATAAAATGAGCGCTGTTCAAAAGAAGTGGGCAAGTGTCTATGAGGATTGTAAGTATTTAGGATTAGGGGGTCCTTAGGAAAATTTTTAGACACAAATGCATGCGTTACGGTCATGGCATAATGGCTGGGTTTGATTGGGATTGTCTTATGTGATGCTAGTGTACTAAAATTCAGTTTCGTTTGGGAGCAAATAAAAGTCAAGTGTGGGGTATTTTGATATGTGCATATTTCGTTATATATTGTGTATAGAACCTTAATACTTTTTTAATATTTCATTTCAATTAATAAAAAAAAGGTACTTTATTATGTTTAAATTATATTTTTAGCCTAAAAGACGTGATTAGCATAAAAAGGAAGCGGGAAATGCAATCGGAAGCTTGGGAATTGAAGAAAGAAGAAAAAGAGTCAAAAACCTGAAGAACTCGACGAGTCGGACACCTACTCGACGAGTAGGCACGAACATTCGCGAACCATTGGGTGCCTTATGCACCGTACACGAATTTTAAGTGAGGGACTCGGCGAGTCAGTCTATGGACTCGACAAGTCGCCCCTGTTTTCAGAAAACTATATATTGTGCATAAACTCATGGTCCAAGCTTCAAGCTCGCCTCCATAGTTCCAATGCTCCAAGCTCCATAATACCTACAAGATTAATAAAAAATAGTTAAATAATAGGCATTTTGAATGAAACATGTAAGTGCCCAATTAGTAACTAAATGCAAGAATTGTGAAGTAAAATGCATTGAAAAAATTGAAATAGACGTGCAAAATAGGTGCATAAAATGCACCTATCACTTATGAAGCAAGTTCACAGGTCGAATTTGTTGTTTAACCAAGTGAAAATGCTGATGTTCAAGAAAGTTTAGGTATTCAAGCAACTGTAGATGTTGAAACTATTGGGTTTAATGCAAGTGTTGAAGATGATGTTCAAGAAACTGAAAATGATGATGTTCAAGCAACCGTGGATGCTGCTATTTAGGAAACTGCACAAGGGGATGATTATTAATGATGTGTTTAAGTTTCTAGTCTTGCAAAACTAGAGAAATGTAACGACGTAAATTTTAAAACCAATTTTTTCATTTTTGTAAACATCAAAAACATCGATTAATATTTCAAATTCAAACGTGAACAATATTGTCACAACAAAATACATCCCAATGATCATAAAATAGTTTTTCCCGACAATGTGTACGATCACGCCGGCGCCTTCCCACGGTCCTCGCTAGTACCTGAAACACATAACACAACAACTGTAAGCACAAATGCTTAGTGAGTTCCCCAAAATACAACTTACGCACATATGCCTTTCCAGGCCCTGACCTTCCGGTCCATGTGTCTCAGGGGACTTCCGTCCCAACTAGGTAAACCTTTCGGTCCTACCCACGTCAACCTTACGGTCCACATCACAACGCCTTCCAACCCATAACATATTCACCTTCCGGCCCATAACATAATGCCTTCTGGCCCATATCATACATGACACATATAACGATTAACTTATCACACATAATACATATATCTCATATCATATCCGACATTCCGGTCACACAGTCAAACCCTTCTGGGTACAGTATAGTGAGAAGACTCACCTCGTGGAAAGTCTAAGATCTCGCGTCCTTGCTATCACCGAATCCTAATGACGACTCTACCTCGCCTAAACATAAAATATCATTTAATACACAAAGACTTCCACCACTAAAACTTTACCCCTTATCATCATTCCTCAGAGGGTAAATGACCATCTTACCCTTCCTTAAAGTCCTCATGTTGACCAAAACCCTAAAAGTCAACAAAAGTCAACTCTGAGAGTACGCGGGGCGTACTACTAGATGTACGCGGGGCGTACATCGCCAATCACCTGGATCGGGGTCTCCACCCAGTACGCTGCGCGTACTGGAAGTTACGCCCAACGTAACCATCAGAATCCAACACTCTTCATTTCTGGTCTTAATCGGTTAAGCCATTACTCCAACTTCTAGATCCGACTCTTTTAATGTGTCTAAACCCATAAAGTCGAGACCTTTAAGCTTTGGCATGGCTGTAAAGGCTCCAACATCACATAACAACATTCTATTCCAACTCAAGGACCTAGATCTCATGCATGGTGCAATATCCACGTCCAAGATGCCATTTTTATGAGTCTACAACTCTAATAGATCAGAAATATGAAGTATCTAAGCTTATGGAGGCCATTTGCACAAAAAGTCTCCACCTTTGGGACTTAAACCCTAGAAAATGATACCTTAAGCATATAACATGAACCAAGTGACAAGATCCGAACTTTTTACCTGATAATGAAGCTTTAACCCTTGCAAAGCTCAGATCTACACTTGAGCACCACTTCTAGCCTCTCCAACAAGCTCTTCTTCTCCTTTGCAACCTTGGAATGGCACCACAAAGCTTAGAATACACACACAATGGCTAAAGAACGAATGTACACACACTTTTTAGGGTTTCACTCTGAGGGATGGTGGCTGAGAAGTCCAGCCACACATTCCTTTTATAGCCCTCCAAAGGAAATTAGGGTTTAGATCTGAATAAGTTACGCCGGGCGTAACCTTGGGTACGCCCCGCGTACCTGAGGGTGAACGCATCCAAAATGAGGCGCGTGAGTACGCGCAGCGTACACCTTATACGCCCAGCATACTCGCCTACCATGAAAACCTTAAATTAACAACTTAACCAAGATGCAAGGCCAAAAGAAGAATACCTGGATTTCGGGCTGTTACAAGAAAACCTCTCTTACTTTATTATTATTTTTTTAGATAATTCTAGTAGTTAGTTTAATTATCGTTCCCTGTCTTCGATACCCTGCTTGCTTAACTATACCACCAATTGACTAGTACATTGCCTTTTGTATGTCTAAATTATATTTAATAAGTAGGACTAAAACTAGTGCATTTTACACACATCAATGTGATAAAAAGGATAAACACGACACGTGTTGGTGTGACACGATCCGTGTTTCAAACGTAGTCATCTGTGATGATGATATGCAACGACTCATGTTATGTCTTCATGTTTTCTTCCATTACATGATCGATCCATCTTATATTCATGGTCTAAGCTTCAAGCTCGCCTCCATAGTTCCGATGCTCCAAGCTCCATAATGCCTACAAGATTAATAAAAAATAGTTAAATAATAGGCATTCCGAATGAAACATGTAAGTGCCCAAATAGTAACTAAATGCAAGAATTGTGAAGTAAAATGCATTGAAAAAATTGAAATAGACGTGCAAAATAGGTGCATAAATGCACCTATCACTTATGAAGCAAGTTCACAGGTCGAATTTGTTGTTTGATCAAGTGAAAATGCTGATGTTCAAGAAAGTTTAGGTATTCAAGCAACTGTAGATGTTGAAACTACCGGGTTTAATGCAAGTGTTGAAGATGATGTTCAAGAAACTGAAAATGATGATGTTCAAGCAACCGTGGATGCTGTTATTTAGGAAACTGCACAAGGGGATGATTATTATCAGGAAAACCAATAAAAAATGTTTTAGGAGCCCCCCCCCCTCGAAAATACCGTCCAATCATTACTTACAATGATGATGTATTGATGTTGAAAGAATGTGGTTATGAAGATAATGAGATTGCACAATCTTTAGAAAGGGTAAATGTGATGTCTGACCTGTGTTACCAATGGAAATGGTATGCCAAACTATATTTTTAATTTATTATAAATGACTCATTTGTGTTTGAATTCATAAATTCATCATATGATACATGATGTAGATGTTAATTAGATTGAAGATCACTTGGAAGCAAACTTAGAAGGGGATGCTAATGAGATTGAAGATAACTTGGAAATGGTATGAAAACCTTTACTTTAAATTTATTATAATTAATATGTGATTTAAAAAAGGATAATTAACTGCATCATGTGTTACAGGGTGTAGATGTTAATAAGATTGAAGATCACTTGAAAGCAGACTTCGAAGGAGATGTGATACTCGACCTTGTGCCACCAGTGCAAAGGGAAGTTGATATACAAGATTTAGAGGATAATGCTTGGGTTAATGAATATGATAAGGAAGCTGGTGGGGAGAATGACTTCATTGAAGATACACAAGTTGTTGGGAGGCCTAGTAAAAGGAAGTTTATGAGAGAATTGTGAAGATTAATATGAAGAAAGCAATTTATGATAAGGATGGAGGGGGTTTTATTATTGAGAAACCTGTTAATTTGGAGGAGTATTTAGGAGGGGGTATCATGGGCACTATGTATTTTTCTTCCCCTTTTTGTTAACGTTGCAACGACTTTTGGAAACAACCATCTAATTATATATCATCATATAATATTCAGTTAGGCCTTTTTAAACATTGGTAGTTAATGTCCATTTGTAAGATTGTTGGGCAATTGGATGTTTGGTTCTAATTGTAATACCCCTTTTATGTTATTAAGAATGCAAGTATTTAAAGCATGTTGCCTTTACTTGTCATTTCACTTACCATAAGTTAATTGTCATTCTAGTTAATGTCCTTTACTTGTTTACACAAGTTTTAGTACATTACCATAAGTACATTGTCATTGCAATGAATCACTATAATGCAATACCAAATCACATGGGTCATAAATAACATTGGATTACTATCAAGATAATTTTACATAAACATTACAATTTGAAATGAAAAATTAACCAACTAGTCCTTACATCAAACCAAAATAACAAACCTACAACACCCTTATAACAATTACTTTTACTGCAGGGCCTTAGCTATACCAAAATACATTAAAATACAATGCCAATTATAAGAATTACTCCAATAATCACCAACATCACCAAAACAAAACTTTAGCAACATGATCACCTACAGTACACCATTGACAACATTTTTGTTATGGGGTTCCCTTTCATTAACATAAAACTCTAATTCCTCTGTGTCAAGTTACTTGAAATATTTACACCCTTTTTTGGTACCATGCCAACAAAATCTTCATTTGATAACTTTTGAAAGATAACAAAATGGGAGAACAAAATCCTTTAATTTTACCTTATAGTTAGGGCATGCCTAGAGCTTTCTTCTTGAGTTTTTGTCGGTTCTTAATTGCAGTTGATCACCACAATCACACTTGGTGAAATAAACCGATTTGATGATAGAAGATGTTGAAGATGAAGCCATGCGGAAGAAGGCTGGTCATGTGTGAGAAAGAATACCGATCCAAGAGTGAATGAGAGGTTTTGTGGCAAATAACGACTTTCGATATGTAAGGAGTTAAGGTTGCTTGATAAACCGATTACACCAGCTAAGCATTGACTTTTCATAAAGAGTCAACACAATTATTGGCAAATAAGTAAAAAAAATAAATAACATTAAGGTGAAATCGAAAGGTGGATAAGTATTAGGGTATTAACCCTTTGTAATTTGGTAGAGGTTATTTTGTTGTTTTTATGCTCGTGGCTTGTGCATGAATTCATGTGCGATGTATTTTTGTTTTATGAAACCGTGTCATGATGACAAACGCCATTTTCCTGATAAATGATAATTACCAGAGTTTTCTAGACCTCCCACAAACGCCATTCCCACAGCCGCCCCTTTCAATTCGATCACCAATTTTCTCCTCTAGGGTTCCTTTTCAATCGATTCGCTCCGATTCCAAAGAAGACAAAGGGTAAATGTTTATTCCTTTTTACATCTCTATTTTTCAACTTAATCTATCTGTCGTACATGTATTTTTCTATTCTCGTTAATGTATGTCTCCCTTTCCTGTAAAATTCCGCGATAATGTCTTCGATCGTCTATGAAACTTAAAGTTCCCTGGTAATGTGATGTTGAAGCGCATCAGTCGTGGAATCAAAACTAAATGCAATTTTGTGTGAATCGTAGCGATAATTAGCAGATCCTTTTTAGATGCTTCACGATTTACGTCAATTTAGAAGTTGAAACTTAACCTGTTTAACATTCTAAATCATCTATAGTTCTTGTTCTTAAAATTCCATTGGATGTGAATTTTGGCTGTGAAATATGTTCAGTTTTCGTGAAATTAATCGACTTATTAAGCGATTACACCAGCAACTGAGATGTGAACCCCTTTGATATTGAACCCCCAAATTATCCTTACGTGTTTAACTTAAAGCCTTTTAAAGGAATTTAATTTTGGATGGTTGTTGCATAAGATTGTAGAGACAGCAGAATAGTGGCGTATATTCTGAATAACTGAAGTTAGAATAACTTTGTATACATCACTACTAAAAGCTAATGCTACAGAATAATGTTGCATTTTGTTTGTTGACTAACATGGTTTTTATCCACTAAACATGAAACTAGAGTAGGTATGACCTATTTCCTTCCTTTTCTTTCTGTATGATCACATACCATAGTACCATACATGCATTCGTTTGATCACTTGTGCATATCCATGACTCCATGGTAGCATGGTTTATAAAACATATTGAAATTAAGGTAAAGTAGGTACTTTTATGTATTTAGCATGCCTTGCATCCGTAACGATAAGAATTTCCCTTTCAAATATATCATTTATAAAAGAAAAATAAATCATTTTAGCGTTTATTTAGTTTCCTAAAGCACCACAAAATCACCTTGTGATTTACGATAGTCAACATATACTGTTGGATTTAAGCTCTTCTGAACACTTAAACAATATTATAAAACATATACCAAATTAATAAATTAAAAATCTCCCTCTCTCTCTCTCTCTCTCTCTCTCTCTCTCTCTCTCCATCTATATATATATATATATATATATAGTTTAGTATGAAGAACAAACAAAAAGGGCTGTCTTTTTCACTCCAACATTACCAAAATACCCTCTGCATAATTCCCCATAAATATCTTCTCCAAAATATCATTTTTTCCTTGTCACTTCCATCATTTCTTGTCTTTCTAACTACCCTACAACTTGACAATTATAATGTTTCCTATCATAATCATTTGTAATTCTGTATGCAGATGTTACAAACAAGGTAGAAAATCACACTTTAAGACTAGATTTATTTAATTGTCATCCCTTTTATGAAAAAATATATTCTGATTTGTTAAGAGAATCTCAAATTTCCTTTTTTGTTTCTAAGGTTACATCGCATATATATATATATATATATATATATATATATATATATATATGTATATATATATATATTACATTTAATAATATGTTTGTCTTTCCCAGGTTTATGATTGAACTCTCATTTCCGACAAATAAATGGATAATCAAATCGACTGCTTTCAATGGCTCGAATCTGACATGGCACTCAAAATTCTGACATGTCTAGATGACTCAGCCGACCTCATTCGCGCATCTGCCGTATCTCACTACTGGCAAAACTTTGGTCAGTATCATAATCCGCAATAATTATTTTACAAATTTGGTCCCTTTACTTTACCGAAATTTGCAAGTTCAGTCCAAAATTTGAATTCATCCCGATATTGTCCTTAAGTTTGTATTTCTTTTCGAATATGGTCCCTGATCCATAAAAATGACTTCAAATTTCGGATTGAACTTGCGATTTTTATGTAAAACTAGAAATTTCCCCCTCCCTGCTTTGTGGGGGACGCAGAAACTTTACAAGGACTTTTTCTGTAAACTAAATAATTGCAGGGACTAGATTTGCCAAAATGTAAAACCTTTGTCGTAGGGATTAAATCTGCCAAAATGTAAAAACCTTTGTTTGCAGGGACTAAATCTGTCAAAATGCAAAACCTTTTTGTTGCAGGGACTAAATCTGCCAAAATGTAAAACATTTGTGACAAAACTCATAAAGTGGGAAAAGGCATTGCTCATAAGTCATAAGGACTTTGTAAATTATATATAGTATAATTTGGACTGAACTTGCAATTTTCAGTAAAACTCAGGGACCAAATTTTGTAGTTTACTCTTATTCAATTACGACACTTTTCAATTTTCACATAAACCCCAAAAATTCATTTCTTTTTGCAGTGATCTCCAATGGACTTAACAAGCAACTTTGCCTGAAAAGATTCCCCCAGCTTGCTAGCATTACTCATGACCCATCAAGTGGTGACGTGGCATATGCTGCTCTTTTCCAAGCTGTCACAAAATTTCCTCAAAGCTATTGCATTGCTGATCCCGTGAGTGCTTCAAGCACAGATAACTACCCAGAAGAAAGCATTCTGAACACATTGGACCCACGCGACAAAATTCGCCAGAGGGATTATTCCTATTGGTCAAGTAAAGGAAGCGATGATCCAGATAAACCCGAGACACTGATATATAACTTATCAGCTAACTTTTGTGTTATATCGGAAATATACTTGCATCCATTTCAAGCTTTGTTTCAAATTGATTCGCCTATATATTCATCTAAATATGTGCGCTTTAGAATGGGACACCCGAGATCTTTGAATGAGATCAATCATGATTTTATGGAGTCTCAAGAATGTGCAGATGATAAGTTTATTTGGACTTACACTTCACAAATCTTCCCAATGGCTCAGGAAAATCGGTTACAAAAGTTCAAGTTGCCAGAGCCTGTGATTTGCATCGGTGGGTTTTTGCAAATTGAGTTGTTGGGCCGGGTTCAGAAACAGGCAGCTGATGGGAAATATTATATATGGTTGGTAAAAATTACTTTGTATATTATAATAAATAAATAAAGGAATTAATTATTATTATTATTATTTTTTTTAAATTACAGTGTGGCTCATGTGCAAGCGATAGGGCGGAAACTGTCGCCGGCGTTTTGTGTTGAGGTTTGTGAAGAATCGAAAGGTGTGTCTCTGAGGTATGATGGCGGGGAATTTGAGGTTATGATGCAGCGGGTTTCAAGTGGAGATGGTGGTTCGCTTAGTACAAGTTTGCTTCCGGTTCAACCTCCGAGGCAACTGGCTTGGGGGAATTTACAAGACTTTTTGCACATGGTACAAGCGCCTCCTCAAGATGGTGGTTGGTATGAATGGGTTGTTGATGATGGTGATGATGATGAGGTGGAGGAGGAGGAGGTTGATATGGATGGGGATGATGAGATTGATCCGGCTTTCTTAATCTAGGTTAACATGATGCTATGTCATGTGTTTGTGTGTGTGTGTGTGTGTGGGTGGGTTCTATATTGTATATAATAATAGTATTTGGTACTAAGTTATGAGGTTATCCAAGCAAAAACTCTCATGTTGCTAGGCATCTTATGTGTTTTTCATGGGCATCGATGTTTGTTGAGATGTGGAGTCTAACAGTGGTTGTGGTGTAGAATTTCTATAGGATATTGAAACACCTAAAATGGGCCCCGAGACTGGTTATATTGGAATATTAAGGAAAGGATATTTATTCATTTGCGGTGTAACTATATGTGTAGATTATAGAAACATAGTTGATCATTCTTATAACCAATATACCTTTTTTACATGGATCTAGAAAATGACTTGTGGTGTTTGCCTTAATCTTGAAGTTAATAGTTAAATTTGATTATCATAGTACACTGTATGGTCGAAATACTGTTCAAGGAAAGTTATTTACACGATAACAAGTCATACTTCAGAGTTCTGACCAACTACCGATCATGGACTTGGAAAGCTTTTGTAAGATAAAAATACCCGGTTAAATTTTTTATGTCGAATGCAATTTTACATATATATATATATATATATAAATATATATATATATATATATATATATATATATATATATATATATATATATATATATATATATATATATATATATATATATATAAGGGTTATATGGAAAATAAACAATTATGGCAACACATGTTGGAACTAATGAAGCATGACAACACATCATTTTAGAATAACTATATAAATAACTTCCATAGTAGATTGCTTATGAATAAAGAAATGGATACGTGTCACTTGATCATTGGTTCCAACATATGTTGCCCTAATTGTTTATTTTCCATATAACCTTCCCTATATATATATATATATATATATATATATATATATATATATATATATATATATATATATATATATATATATACACATATATATATATATAGGGTTAGGTTCATTTGAGACCACCTATATTTTGTGAGACCGTGAGACGCATTTTTTTATTTTTATTTTTTATTTTTTATATTTTTTTTTTTTTTTTTATTTAATTCATGTTCCGAAAATAATATTTAAAAAAAGAATTTTTTGATTTTTCCATTTATTTTGCATTTTAAAATTATTTTTAGAATATGTATAGTGTAATATTCTATTTAGAATATTTCACGTATTTTTCAAAAAAAAAAGAATTTTTTTTAATTTTTTTTAGTTAATTCAAGTTCCGAAAATAATATTTAAAAATATAATTTTTAGATTTTTCCATTTATTTTGCATTTTAAAATTATTTTTTAGAATATGTCAGTCTAATATTCTATTTAGAATATTTCACGTATTTTTCAAAAAAAAAAAACGGATTTTTTATTATTTTTTTTATATTTTTTTTAGTTAATTCAAGTTCCGAAAATAATATTTAAAAAAAGAATTTTTGGATTTTTCCACTTATTTTGCATTTTAAAATTATATTTAGATTTGGTCTCACGGTCTCACAAAATTAGAATGGTCTCAAATGAACCTGAACCTATATATATATATATATATATATATATATATATATATATATATATATATATATATATATATATATATATATATATATATATATATATATATATATATATATTGGTTCTTCAATGAAACCAAATCTTTTTTTTTTCAATTACTAAAGCTTATTTTTTATCGAAAAAAAATATAAAAATATCTAAATTCATATATTAATATTGTGAATGTGAAAAATATTTTTCTGGTTTACCGTGTGAATCCGGATTCACATTGTGAATTTTCAAAGATTCACATTGTGAATTTGACGTAAAAAAATTGAATTTGATATCATTGGAAAAAAGATAAAAGGTTGAGAACACGAGAACAATCCATTTTTGTTAATTTTTCAAAATTATGTCGTTAAAGTGTAAAAGGTTAAAATACGTTTATTCCCTTAATTTATGCAATATTAAACTAGGGTATTTCTTATTTATGCAATATTAAATTAGGGTATTTGTTACTTTTAATTAGATTGATAACACATATCTCAATTAATCGTACCTACCTTCTTCATCCCCAAAATATTCGTCTTACCTCCTTCATCCGAGTTACAATATAGTTTCAAGTTTTGGTTTTCTTTGATTCTCCGATGATTTGCAAGAATCTTTAAGCTGGAATTGGGGGATCCATCTACATCAGTTTACTTCACATTACCTATCAATAACCCTGTGTTTTTTGCGATTCGATGATATGCGATGCGATGTGAAGCTTGAACATTGGGATTCTTCAAGATTACTTGCATATTGTCGTTGAAGATTGTCGATATAACAGTTTATGGAGGTCGAATTTGAAGGAGTGTATGCAGTCGGGAATCGCACAAGAGGTAAGTTCCTTTCACGTTGAATGTTTACATTTTTTTTTTAATCATGTAGCTCGATTTTGTATACTTTCTATACAGTTTTTTATATGAGTTTGCAATGTATGCTTTTGATTTGGTCAAACGGTTCATGGAAGATTTATGACCTATTTTCTCCTTTATATGTTCACTGTTAGCTTTTTTTTTTTAATCAAATTAATCGATTTGCAAAAGCATGAATGATGTTACTGGCATGAAATTGTTGTTAAATTCAACTACAACTCATCAATTCAGATGAGTTTAGAATGCAGATGGTTTGATTAGGTAAATATTGCCATGGGTCTTATTAGCCCTTATCCCACACTTATGTGTTACCTGCTAAAGTGCTTGAATTATATTGATTAACCATAGATTCCATTTACATGTAGGTTATTTATGTTTTATTAAAATGTTTCAATTTGCATTATGTTAATTTTTGTAGTTAACAGTAAGATTATCCTTATGTCTTTGTTATCGTGTATGCTGTTATTTGCCCTAATATCATGCTTATGTGTTACATGTTAAATCGTTTGCAATACATTTATTCACCCTAGATTCCATATAAATCTATGTTATTTATGTTTTATTCATATGTGTCAATTTGCATTATGTTTGTTGGGGTAGTTAACAGTAACATTAGACTTATAATTTTGTTATCATGTATGAACTACAATAGGACGCATGAAGAGTGAGTGTATCAAAAACACATACTCACTAATGAAATACAAGAATGATCCCTCAAACCCAATAATAATAGATATCGATGTAGATGCATATGATTCTATCAGGATTACCCCCATACCAACCATTGCTAAAGTTGGAGTTATGACTCAAAGGTCAAAATCTAAACTTGTTTCAACTGTCAAACCAATTCACAAAGAAGGTATTTTTTTTTTTGAATTAGTTATCACACTAAAAATCATATTCTTCATGTTTTTTGATTATGCCTTACTATCAATACAAGGTCAACATTCCGAACATAGTGTTTCTGTTGAAGTGCTTCATGAAATTCGTTCAAAGCAGAAATTTGATCCCGATTCCAATCCCTATTCCCCAGTGCATGGTTATACAAAATCAGGTAGCTCATTAACTCTATCTTTTTTAAATTGCTAGTATAATTCATTCATCTTATTTATTGTATTTTCCACCAAAAAAATACACAGTTATTAGAAAAATGTTGTTTACGTCTAAAGAGAAACAACAACCATCACATGATGAATCAGATTTTGAAGACCCAAACCCATTCATCAGCCAAAATAAGAGGAAATCACCTCCACTTGTAACAGCCAAAGTTGTGCAACATCAGGAAAAGAAAGCTAGAGTAGATGTGGCCAACCCTCAAGCAATTAAGGCAAAAGTTAAGTCAAGAAACTGGAGAACAGAAAATCAAAGAAGGGAGTTCATGTGGGTATTCCAACACAACCAAGGCGAATATATATATATATATATATATATATATATATATATATATATATATATATATATATATTCGTACGTCACCAAAAATATTATTCTCCACAATGCACGGCCTGACGAATGGACAGAAGGAGTATTTATCATCCATTGGATTTGGTCCCCTTTAAAATATAAAAGTAGATGGGTCAGAATCACGAATTGGGTACTATGCGGTCAACAACTTTAACCCTGAACGCATGGTACTGAATGTCGAGTGGGGTGAGATACCAATCACTAGGCAATTGATACATGACATGTTGGGTCTCCCTCTGGGAAATATCAATATCAATTCACTAAAGTTCAGACCCGCTGAAGACAAAATTGTTGATTTGTGGTCTGCACAGTTCAAGTCAGAAAATGATATTAGGCCCAAAGGCGTACCAAGGGCGATTAAGAGATTAAAAGATGTTGGGTTATTGTTTAAAGTTAATTTTTTGGTTCTCATATGTAACACCTTGGACAATCCAAGAGCATGGGCACATGTGATGTATCAATGCTTTCAAGGGTTTCAGAGGATTTAGATTTAAGCGACATAGATTGGTGTTCATACGTCTTAGAGTGTTTGAAAAATACAAAACATGCATGGAATTCTATGAGCGATACATCTTACTATGTTGGCCCTATTGTCCTATTGACGGTACCTATCATACAACCTAACTTACTACATTAATTCTACTTATTTATTATTGTCTTAGTGATCTATGATTACAATATTACACCCCTAGTGACTTATTGACTACTCCTTGATCACTAACGATTTACTCATCTTTTTTTAACATATAAGCTTATATACCTGGAGCATGTTTCCTGTGATGCGGTTACGATTGATCGTGGAAGACCTGTTATATGTTTATGGGATGTGGAAACCATGCACTTACGTGAGGAGTATGAAATCAGAAATGGTGGAATTGGTTCTGGTGAACTTCAGGATCCTTACATACCACATGATGACAATGCTGAAAATGTCAACTCGGCAAATGGATCAGTTGAGGTTAGAAAATTTCTGCATCATTTTTCCATATTTACCACATATTACTAATCACTCATAATGTTTTCAGGAATACCTTCCACCATTGAAAGTATGTTCAACAAGCTAGTTGAGGATAATCATTTGTTGCACTCAAAACTTGTAGACGCAATCGAAAGGCATCCTTTGGTTTGTGATTTCTACGAATGGCAAGCGAATATCAGAATTTTCCTTATTGAAGAATCCATGAAATACGGAGGTGGCAGTTCTACTCATGCAGACAGTGTCGGACCTTTATCCCAATGGTGGTCAGACAACGCGGAACAAATTAACAGGTCCTGTTTAATGGTAGAAAATTCTGTTAAATCGTTCCACAATTCACCCTTTCCAAGCTGGAGCATCGGGATGACACAGGAGTTTGCTGATATCATTAGAAAATCACCACTGAAAGATATCATGAAAAATCCAAAAGACCAATTTCCAAGTCCTCTTCCATTATCAATTGTTCCTATTCACAGTGATTACGGTGCTGTCCGTGCAAGAGAGTTAAGGCCAAGAAATAAGCCCCCTAAACTACGTTCCCCGTTCATTGTACGGGCAGTTGACATAACTAAACGTATATCACGTGCTCAGAAGGACCTATCTGAATGGGTTTTCTCAACACAAGGTCATCAAAGGTATATACAAATTCATACATTACTGATAGAACAATTTTTTTTTTTTTTTTTTTACAAATACTATTTAAGTTTTCAAATGTTATTCTATGCAGTGACGAACTTTTCCGGACTTGTGCTGGTGTAGCTGCTGAACGCTTTCACATAGAAAGCTTTTTCCCCAAATGTGAACTTTTTGGACACGTACTAGATTGATGGAGCCATCTGTTAAATTTCGATGAAGACTTGCGTTCTAATTTATCTCCTCGCATACTATTCGCCACTACCACGTTGACGGTACAATATTAATAATCATTAGCATTCATAATCAATGTCATAATATAATCTTCTAAGAATTGCACATACATGACTTCCACATTCTTACATTACACCTTCAATTTCATCTTCATATTACACTACTCACAAACATTGTTAACTACCCCTATAATTACATCATTTATCTTCTTCACAGAGTTTGTATCTCGAAAATACTGTGTTGATAGAGGAAGATCGTCTGAATTTTTTTTATGAAAATCTGAGCCTATCCATCGATGATTTTGATGCAACAATACGCGATGTGCAATTAGTATGCTTCTATATTATTTTAAATCATATTCTTGGTATTTGTTTCAGCTATTCCTACCAGTCGTCTGTGGTTTTCATATTTTCCTTGTCGTACTCGACTTTCAACAAGCAGCCTTTTGGATCATTGACAACATCAAAAGAGATGACGACAACCAGCAGACATATGGTCTTCTACCATATATCATTCTAATATACTAATACAGATTGACATTTTTTATATATAAATCATTTTTTTTAACATATAATCCTATATCATTTTCAGCATTCATACATGACTCAATACTTGCGGTCTGTTCACCATCCAAACACTGAAGCATTTTCACATGTCCCAAGACAAATCCCCCAACTACCTTGGTCAACAGTAAACAATACCACAGTCTGTGGTATTTTTACTATGCGTCACATGGAGACGTTCATGGGTGGAAACATTAGAGATTTCCAAAACTGAATTCAAGTCAGAGTCACTTGCACAGGACAACCATTTATCTAGACTACGGGTCATCCATCTTTGCAAAATATTAAATTCAGACTACAACCTGCTGAAGGATTCAATCCTTCATCAGGTAGCAGAATTCCAAAAGCTGACTGCATCTAATCGAAATCAACTATTGAAGGATGCTGCAACCAGGATACATGCCCGGCTGACCGAATTTGGTTAAAAAATGTTGGGTTAATAAGACTTTTTTGTTTACCTTCTGGGAAGAATAATATGCTACTTACTTTTAGTCTATTATGTAGATGGCTCAATGCAAGCAAACCTATCACTATTTTGTTTTTTGATTATGTACCTCCCTTTTGTCTTCATATTATATTAAAACATCGTTTCTAAATCTTACATGAATGTCTCTTGTGGTTATTGTTAATCAAAATTGTTAACTTTTACCCTTTATAGATGGCTTCTATATTACATACCCAATTTTGTTTCGACATGTTACTCGAAACTGATATCTTAATGTTTCAGATTTTGACATCACAGGATACACGTGTGGTATTAATTTATGTAATTTATTTTAATTACTAACAGCCCTACTTACTTTGCTACTAATCAATCATAAATGATGTGCCTACCCAATTTACACATCAATACACATGTACCCTGCATAGCCTTTTCCTTTTTCATTTTACTCCAAAAAACCATACAGACCTCCACTATTCTACAAACTAACATACAAAAATGAAACAAATCTTACAAGCATCAAAACATATGATCATACATGACGTACATAATCAACACACCCATCACCATCTACGTTAATACCATGGCTGTATACAATCGACACAAACATCATCATCATCATACTATCTCGAATACATTGCATCAAACAATTATATGATACAAAAAACAAAATCAACAAACAAAACAAAATGATGTTATTCAATTTAAAAAAAAACCCAAATTTAGATGTGCAAACATAAGTTAACAAATTATTAATGATAAACAAAACCATGAGTAAACTAACAATAATTCTAACTAGAATTGGATTTCTCACGTGCAATTCTACTTTGCAAGTCCTTCAATTATGATTCACATATAAGTTGCATCCTGTGCACTTTCGTGAACCACTTTTTGAAGATGTAGCTGCCCTATGCGCTGCAATAACCATCCGTTTCTTAGTCCCACTCCCTTTATTATGTATCACCGGTGGGATATTAACTTCAATTTGTTCTGGAATACTAACCCCAAATAGCCTAAACACAGCTTCATCACTATCATCAAACGTAATAGTATTAACCGGATCTTGCTCAAATACCCTCCTCATCGCACGTGTTGTCTTCACAAAATCTTCTAATTTTTCCTTATCATTATGAAGACGCTCCATATAGTACTCCATGTTACTATATGCTTCGGTTAACAATTTAAAAGTTTCATCTTCCATTTGAGCAAGCCTATTCTTACTGACCAACAAATGGCTAGAAATAATATCCCTTCTCCACCTCCGTAGAATATATTGCTCGGGTATCTCCTCAATGTGATTATTCTTCAGAACTGCAAACACATGCCGACACAAAATACCCATTCGCTTGAAGAGTTCGCATGTACAATTTATTTCCTTTTCTGGCAACTTCAGTCCCGCCTACATCAAAATTTTAATTCATACTTTAGACATGTTTTTTTTAAACATATTTATTTGTTTAGATTCGTATAAACATTATTGATGCTTTGACAATCATTTGAATTTTGGGAACTAACTTTACACTTTGTTTTCACTTGTCTTCTATTGTCCAAGTGTGTAATCAATATTACCTGCCACCCGTTCATATTTTCTACACTAGCAATTGAACAATTCCATGCTCCTTTGTATATCTCCTTTCGAACTTCAGCAAAAACTGTATTTGTATACACTTTTGCTGCATGTTGCTCTAATCTTGTGCCCATCCCAAATTTATGCCTGATTCTCTTAGTTTCATTATCAAGACGACGTTGCGTGGTACGTTGTTTTCCAATCGTCGTGTCATAGTTCACAATGAAATACAAAAGGAACTTCTCATGATGCGAGTACTTATTAAAGAATGAATTCGCACTTTCAGACCTGGAAGTTGCTTTCATCATTCCATGCATTGGCATGTCCTTAAAATAAGCGTGTATCCATGAAGTTCGCCTACGATACATGTCTTTAAACCATCGTTTATCTTGCAGATTGTAATCCTTCATCAATGACTTCCCCGATGTTTCAAACTCAATGGGATATATATATATATATATATATATATATATATATATATATATATATATATATATATATATATATATATATATATATATATATATATATATATTCCATACTAGTTTGTTGAAGCGTTTTCTGAAATCCGTGTTTTTCAAAACATCCCCACTTACCTGATACACATCCATTTTAAACTTCAAATTACACATATATTTTAACAAATAAATGTACTTTCATCAACAAAATTCAAATCTCATTACATATTCACCTGATGTAATTCAATTACCCATACAACATACCTTCGCCTGTAATTTTTTCGTTATATGCCATAAGCATAGTCTATGCTTGGCATTTAGGAATACAGCCTCAACTGCCTGCAGAATCGTTGGATCGTGGTTTGTTAACACCAATGTTGGTTCTTTCCATGAGCTTTTAAAAAAGCTTCAAGCAACCAACAATAAGACTCTATTTTCTCATTACTAAGTAGGTCATCACCAACAGTAACAGATCTTTTGTGATTATCAATAGCTGTAAAAGGGACAAATACCATTCCATACCTAAATAATAATATTTGTCATCATTAGTGACATCGTACAAACAAATTAATCCAGAATACACATCAACCAAAATAAAACGCAGCATAACACTTACTTATTTGCTCGAAAGGTAGGGTTAAAAGATATCACATCTCCAAACTCCTTGTAGAATACCTTATATGTTTCATCAGCCCAAAACATAGCATTTAACACGCTATCGACACATTTATACTCAAAGGAATAATCTGAATAAAATGTTTTCCTCTCATTCATTTTATTCACTACCAATTGCGCATCCTTGTTGCCTATAATGTTACCCAATTTTTTCCTAAAATTTTTGTAATCACTCTCTTCGGGACCAACACACTCATATCCACCTTTTAACGCAACACGAAGTTTATGCGTCTTTGTTACACCCACGTTTTCTATTGTTGCGCGTATAATAAACTCCTTGTCTGCGTAATTTAATTTCCTAGATTTTTTTTGAATGTCTGCGCTCTTCTGTGGTATAAAGAGGGTGGTTGTGCAACTCTTGAAACTCTCTAATTTGAAACTCATTTCTTCCAACACTAACACGTACAAACTTTATCAGTGCTCTACAATCCGTTACAATAAAGTTTGAATTCCTATGTTTCCTTCCACCATTATTTGTATCTATTGTATCCACGCTTCTATATGGTATTTTCCCAGCACTAAAGAGGGTGGTTGTGCAGCTCCTGAAACTCTCTATTTGTATCCATTGTTGAATATGGTTACGGTCACAAATGATTTAACGTATTTGTGGGATTATGTTCAACAATGTTTCAACATAATCCCACACAAATCCATAAACAACAATTGTGTTCAATGATGATTGAAACAATAACATTTATAAATACCCCCTCTTCCATCCCAAATACACTAAATCATTTTGTGATTCAACCTAAAACCACATACTCCCTTAAAATAAGCAATGATTCACATATAACCATGAATATGCAACCTAATGGAATAAAAAGTCTAAAATTTAAATAAACATAATTGTTTTACCTGATAAACAAGACTATGCAACATATTTGAATATGATTGCACCCACAAATGATTTAATGTAGTTGTGATGGAAAAGGGGTATCTACAAATGTTGTTGTTTCATTCATGATTGAAAACAATTGATTTGATTTGAACTCAATTTGTATATATTTGAGGTTGCAATGAGATCATTGAATAATTCATTTATTACAACTACAATTAATCATTTGTGACTACAACAAGATTTATAGATAACCCACAATTCCATAACAAATATATTATATCATTAGTGAGTACACATCTATTCAAATATGTTTCAACGTAAAACAACATAATTCCATAACTCACGCAATGATTCATATATAATCAAGATTACACAAACTAATGGAATAACAAGTATATACTTGTCACTGGTAAATTATATATGTACGTACAACACCTTATAATCATCATTAAATAAGGGTCTAAGTGTTAATCAACATATTCAGCTATGATTATCATATTACAACATCTAATTCCAATACAACATCTAATTCAATCGCTACTGCTTTTACTGGTAATATACATATACTTCACATCTGTATAATTCATCAGCATAAATCAATTACATCGAATTGAACAACTCTATTTCGTTTTAGCAGAAACTAATAGTCCTTTTTTTTGTTTCACAATATGATTACATTCAAATACTAATTTCTGAAATCAAGCACACGTACCTTCACGTTCATCAACAATATCGATAAGTAAATTGAAATAACTTTCATCGCCATCACAATCCCCACATCCAGTGTGCTTCATCGTAGGCGAATTCAATCAACGAAGCGTAATTTGATTCTGGATGACGACAACAATATTGATGTAATATTTTGCAGATTTTGATTACACGTCTGATGTCGGCATTATGGATTGCAACAATAACGAATATGGTTTCAATAACTTTTATCCAATTAACGTTCTTCATTCCTTCTGGCTTCAATCATGGAAAACGTCTGTTACGTGTTATTAAATACGTTTATGTTATGTTATACATGTTAAACACATGATTATTTTTTTATTATCTAGAGAAAATAAAGTATCGAGCATGTTTAGTTATACATGTTAAATACAAGTCAAATATAAGTTTCTTTGAACATTATAAAGACCACCCTAACATGTTAATATAAATGATGGATATATAAATATACTAATAAATTTAAGTTATTTTATAAAACAATAGAATTAAACAAATTGATATAGAGTTATGTTGTTTTATAAATAAAGAAATGATCTAATATGTTGATTTGTATAATAAGTTGTAACCAGTAGTAATATCCTTGCACATTGCAATGAAAATTTTATGTGCATAAAAGATAAATGTTAATTAGAAACTACTTACATTATCCCTTCTGACTTGAAATTGCTATCAAGATGCGTCTAAATTTCTGCCAAATGCAAAATTTTGATGTCAAAATGTCTGTTAATCGAAAATAAGATAGTTTTTTCGTAAAAAAAAATAGACTGAATATTAAAAAAAAGAATGAAAAAATTGGCCCATAAGTGTAAAAAAATTGATGCAAGAGATACTTTTTAGAAAATATAATATATACAATAAGCAATACATTATTTACAATATGATTACATTTAATTATAAGATAAAAGTGCACTTCTTAAGGTGCACTTTTGGTTTTTTTAAAGTGGATATGTAAAAAGAAACATTACTTTTAAAAGTTTTTAAAACTATAGAAATGAAAACAAATATGTAAAAAATAGGAGATGAATTCCTAAGAAAAGTAATTATTAAATATAAGAAAATCTTAAAATACATGCATAAAAGTGAACATATAAATCTTTAAAAATAGCTCAAAGATGATTTAAGGACCTGGTAAGTGGCTAGAGTTTTGAATGGATGTCTATCTCATCCACCAAAATTTCATAATTGAATTTCCAATAATTTAATGGGAAAGTTGCAATACTTCCAAAGTGGTAAGCGCAGTTCAGTGTCAAACATCAGTCCACTTTGGAAATTCATTATAAATTCTAGAAGACTCCAAATAAGGTGAATCCAAAGCATATAGTTGTGTATGGATGTATAATATCATGAATAAATATTCCATGATATGATTCTATTTCAAAGTGTAAGGGAAAGTGAAATCTTTATAAACCGATCCAAACAGTCTACAAACAACCCACCAATTTCATCGTGTGAGATGAAGAAATTATAACTAAATTTATAAAATTCAAATTGACATGGGGTTAAGAGATATGCTTTAATATGGAAGTCTAATATTCTACAAAAATTTACTAAGACGGGAACATCATTTTTTCTAGGGTGAATGTTGTCATCTTTATAAAATGGTATTGTAAATTGATTGATTTTATTGTCAACTTGTAAAATGCCTATGAAATCAACCAAACATCATTTGGAGGATGTTCTTTATATCCCTTAAAATCCTAATGAATGTACTTTCATAATATAAAATAATTTAACTAAAACAAGGATTATAAAAAGGGTAAATTTATCCATGAAGAGAAGGACGGATTAACAGTAAAGTCATAAAATAATGACATTAAAATTGAAGTCATATGTAGGCTCTTAATGACTTTTTTGCAAACTCTCTCTCTCTCTCTCTCTCTCTCTCTCTCTCTCTCTCTCTCTCTCTCTCTCTCTCTCTCTCTCTCTCTCTCTCTCATATAGTAAATTGGGTAGATAACTATTTTATCATAAAAAATACACAATGATTATAGATAAACACAAATATAGATAAAAGAGACTACAAAAAATGCAATGTATGACCATCAAATCTAATGTATCATACCTCTTAATTTTCGGTCCAAATCAATCATAACTTTAGAGGGTGTTTGGTTTAACTTTTAAAATGACTTTTGACTTTTTCTTTTAGAAAAAGTCAAAAAGATGTTTGGGAAGATGAGAATAACTTTTGAAAATGACTTTCCAATAGAGTAAAATTGGTCTTTTTGAAAAGTTGCGAAATCATGACTTCTCTAACTTTTCAATAGTGTTAAACATTAAAATTACTTTTATATCTCCATCTACCCCCAATAAATATGTAAACATGTCATTTGTAGTCATTTTGCATGTAAAAATTAAACCAAACACTTAACTTTTGATTTTTTCCCTTCAAAAACTAATCCAAACGCATTTTAAAAAGTTAAGCCAAACAACCTCTTAACCTATACTATTAATCCCATCATATTGCCATATGATGATGACTTTTATAATTTCTTTTCAAACTAAAACATTAAATACAAACAATAAATAAATAAACATGTTAGTAAATTAGCCCTTCTTTACAAATTTGAAATTAAACATTATAATATATGTAAGTTGTTTTACAAATATTTAAATAAATGATTTGTTATATTATATAAGATGAAGGTAGGTTAGAAAGGTGTTACTTTCGGAAAAATTCTTATAAAAAGAACCGTTGGAACTGGAAGTCAAAAGGGTTGAGTCGGTGTATTGGCGCTTAATATTCCCATCTTCTTCGCTCTTCGACTCTTCACTCATCCCTCGTTTCTCTCCAAACACAACTCATCCCGATCTTTGTAACTCCTCTCCCGTGGGAGCAACCGCATCCTTCTCAGGACGCTCACAACTATGTCTACAATCCAAAGAAATTATCAAGATCATTGTAAGTTTTCGTTCTTATCATTTTTCTCTTCTCCCTTCTCTAAGGATTTTCTCTCGTTTATGATGTTGAAATTTCCTTTATATATGTATAGATAATAACAAATCTAAGTTTAGTTGCCTTTTTATTCTCATTTTCTGATTGGGGTTTCTATTATCACCATGTCTTTTTCTTCGTCTTTTTATTGGCGGATTTTTCTGTAAAATCTGATTTTCCAACTGCACAAGCTGTATTGCAACATAAAAACAGAAGGAAACTACATAGTTTTTCTGTAGTTTGTTGGGGTTTTCTTGTTTATCTTTTTGTTGAGTTTTTAGTTTTTCTGTAAAATCTTGATTAAGCGTGTCTGATAGGCTTATTTCAGAATGTGTTTATCTGGTTTTGTTGATCATTTGATAATGTCTTGTGTGTTTGAATGTTTTTTTGTTGGTAATTTGAGAATGTATTTCAGTTCTGTCAGCATTCTTGTGAATAACCAGTTTTATCTGATCACGATGTTCTTGTCAAATACCTTTTTGTGGATGTGTGATCATGGAAGACTCCATCATCTAGTGTTTATTTTGTTTCCAGTTTCTCTTCCACTGATTTTCATTTTACTAATAAGATGATAAGTTTGGTCAAAATCTTGGATCTAGTCATGTTTTTTGAATGTGTTGATATTTCTGTGTTCAGCTGCCTTTATTTTTTTGATGTGTCTCTGTAAGATCATCAACAAGCCAAAGAAACAGTAATAACAGAAGCTATTTAAGCGTAAGAACCCAAGATTCTGGGTTAAATGTTCAACCTCTATCTGTTCGATGAAATGCCTGGGAAATCATTTGAAATTTGAACTAGGAACTTGGTTAGGTTGAGTTGATTATGTCAGGGACTTTATTCTGAGGATGCTATAGCAGCTATTTGCTAACTCTATATCAGAAGTTACACAGGTGGATTGAACTTACCTCCCCTTATACATTTTCATATCACTTTCTAATACCCTGATTTGTTAGACATGCAGACCCTTAAGATTCTTCAGTTGTCAGAGTAGATTAAGGATAAGCTGAAAGAAGTTGATCAAAATGGCACATTCTTTTGGTAGCAGTTAACAAGGTTGCTCAGTTACTCTCTCATGGAACATTTTGGTTAACCAAGAGAAACAGTTTTGTTATGTTTAATCTCAGTAGTTGGTTTTATGGTGTGTTTCTAATTTGCATAAGTTTATTTGTAGATTGTGGAAGATGCAAAACTCTGATATTACAATGCGAATCAGATGAATTGTTAGTGTTTAATGTTGCTGCATCTAATGCAGTGAAGTCATCTGGTTAGTTGCTATTTTTTTTTTATTTCTCTTTTTTCTCACCCTATTAATGCTTGCAAATGTATTATTAAACTTTAGTTAATTCCCAATCTTAATCTTGCAGGTTTGGTTGCTATTGTGAATCACTCTTCTGCATACACAGACATTGCATATTGTAAGTTTCTCACCCTTTAATACTTTTAAATGTTTAAATTTGTGATTATTAATTTTAATCACTTTAACATTTCAGCTGATAGTGGTATGATGGTTAATCATTGATTATCAATTGCACTGATATGATTCTTTACTTGACTAGTAATATATGAAGGGCTAGATGAGGTAATTCTATCTCTTCCATTAGAAACTGGGGTTAAGGCTGTATCATTTTCAAAACTTATTAAATTTTATGTAACTTCAAATCCTTTTGTTGAATCAAAATGTAGTGTTTGATTTTGCTTCACTTTTTGCTAACTCTATCTTATGATAAGAGGCTTAAAAACATCTCCAATAACATGAGTTTCTTTGATTTGAGTTAATCTTTCATGATCTTTTCTATTTGATTACTGATTAATTTGCCATTTAAATTTAGGGAAATTACAACCATCACCCTTTTGGTCTCTACCAAAACCAGATGATGTTACTACAATATTTATACACGAAAGGTTTCTATTTTTTGTTCACTTATGCTTTATTTTTCCTTTTCATGTCTAACCAAAGGTGAATTTTTTCTTACCCTAAGTGGAACTTATTCCTTTTTTATACACAGTGATAAGATTTTTGAAACCTAATTGCATTTTTTTCACCATTATTTTGTTCTAATACTCCCTAATTTATGCTTATTTCAGTTATGAAAGGTCCAATCAGATGATTTCTTTATTGTATGTACTTAAATCACATCATTACAAAACTTATGTTTCTTTTTCTTTTTGACTTAATGTGGGACAAAACTTTACACTGTATTTTCATTTGTGTAGAGCAACTTGAAGTTGTTGGATGACATGGCAGAATATAGATCTGTTGTGTTCTGCAGTGTTCCACGGTTATATATGATGCTTAATTCCATTCATTACTCTGCAACAAGAAAAGGTTTTACAAATTCCAATTCCTTTTTGTTTTTTCTTCTATGCATGCATAATCATCGCTAAAAGTATCAAAAAATGTTTACTTGTTAATTAAGTTAAAGAGTTGTTTTGCTTTGTTTTGTGGGTGAAAATGTTAGTGGATTAAATTATGCTGCTTAGACTAGTTAATCACAAGCCAAAGTAAAATATTTAACATATTGAGATTTAGAAATTCAATTAGGGAAAGAAAGATAAAAGTTTCATATAAAGTTGTTTTGATTGTCATTCTTACAGAAATATTGGACTTATGTTTGTAATTATCTTACTGCAGGATTTTAGAGATTGAATTCGATTTTTGGGGTCATATATCTTTATCAAATTGCTTCAGATGTTAATGTTGAGGTGTAAATTTATCTGTTTAGATGTTCGCAAGATTCACCACATGTTAATTATAAAGCTTTCCTTTTAAGTAACAGATCTTATGCTGCCTCTTCTTTGAAGTTTGTTTGCAGATTTCCTGACATTGATACTTTACATTACTCTGTGATGAATTGCTATTCTTGATTCCAAGTCCTTTGACGATTTTCATTCATTTCTCTGCAATAAGAAAAGGTTTTGGAAACCAGATAAAGAACTAACGATGGAGAAAAGGAAAAGAAGATGACCCTGAGAATCAAATTGTAAACATGTATGTTTTTACCCTTAACACTTATAAAGCACTTCATGCTTTTTTTCTTCTCATTTAAGTTTTTTGTTAATGTTTAAAGGTACACTTTAAGTTCCATCGAATCTCAATCAAGGGTGCTGTACTAGGTGATTATGCCTTCATGGAAATGAAATGCAATACAGGTATAGCTACTATAGCTATGAATTAATGATCCTGTTTGTGTATTTCCATAAATACCCCTCTGCTCCTAAAACTTGTGGTTGTTGATTATCTTCAGGAAATGATGGGATTAACATACTTCATGTTGAATCAATCAAAAAAAGATTCTGAATATTGCATGGAAAACTCCTTCAGCACTTATTTAGTACGCCTGGTAATTCTTTACAAAAGATATTTGTTATTTAATCAATTCTTTTATTTATTTAAAAAGTGTAATTTTTTATTTAGTGAATTTGGACATCATGGAAGGGAAAAGCCACACGGTGTGGTCAATATAAAAACTTTAGTTGAGTGTAGCCGATTTTATTCAGTTTTGTTCCTTTTTGAGGTCTGTAGCATTTTTTTACTTGTTGCTAGTAAAATGACAATTTTTGGCACCAAAACTGCAAGAACTAGCTGTTCTTATTGACCAAAATGTTAATAGAACATCAACTTAAGACCCAAATTCATCAACTATCTTGTATGTTTGGATGGTATTTTGTTGGTCATCTGAGAATGTATTTCAGATTCTCTCAACATTCTTATGAATAACCAATTTTATCGGATTATGATGTTCTAGTCAAATCTCTTTTTGTGGATGTGTGATAATGGAAGACTCCATCGCCTAATTTTTATTTTGTTTCCTGTTTCTCTTCCACTGATTTGCATTTTACTAAAAAGATAATAACTCTAGTCAAAATCTTGGTTCTTGTCATGCTTTTTTTGAACGTGTTGATAGTTTTGTGTTCAGCTGCTTGTAATTTCTGATGTGTCCTTGTAAGATCATCAACAAGCGAAAGAAACCGTAATACCAGAAGCTATGTAAGCCTAAGAACTTAAGATTTAAGTCCAAGTGCTCAACCTCCAGCTGTTTGATTTTTGATGAAATGTCTGGGAAGTATCAGAAGTTACACAGGTGGTGGTTTGTTGAACATACCTTCTCTAATTATACATCTTTTCTGATCTCCTGATTTGTTAAACATGAAGACCCTTAAGATTCTTCAGTTGTTAAAGTAGATGATTTCTTTATTGTATGTACTTAAATCACATCATTACAAAACTTATGTTTCTTTTCTTTTTGACTTAATGTGGGACAAAACTTTTACATTGTATTTTCATTTGTGTAGAACAACTTGAAGTTGCTGGATGACAATCATGACATGGCAGAATATATAACAGACTATATGATGGGTATTATGTGTTTCATCAAATGAGGCTAGACTCCTCCTTCTCAGGACACTCACAACCATGTCTACAATCCAAAGAAATTAAGATTTCAGTCCAAGTGTTCAACCTCCAGCTGTTTGATTTTTGATGAAATGCCTGGGAAGTATCAGAAGTTACACAGGTGGTGGTTTGTTGAACATACCTTCTCTAATTATACATCTTTTCTGATCTCCTGATTTGTTAAACATGATGACCCTTAAGATTCTTCAGTTGTCAAAGTAGATTAAGGATAAGCTGAAAGTAGTTGATCAAGATGTTACATTCTTTTGGTAGCAATTAACAAGGTTGCTCAGTTATTCTCTCATGGAACATTTTGGTTAGCCAAGAGAAACAGTTTCTTACGTTTAAGCTATGTAATTGGTTTTATGATCTGTTTATAATTTGCATAAGTTTATTTGTAGATTGCATAAGCTATCACTGTTGAGAATGACAATCTGGAATCTTTTAGCGATGATTCTTCAACAGATGATGTGGATGATAGTTTTACGGAGCTTCAAGTCAATAACCCTGCTTGTGGTCAGTTTTCTATAGTTTGTTCATAATAGAATTCTACTTCCATTTCTATCAGTTACAACATTATAATTTCAACTTTTTTTCTTAAAAGGGCATTGCATTATGAAAATTCTATGCAGTTATCACACTTAAAAATTATATCCATTCATAGCAATGAAAACTACTTTTTTTTTTTTTCAATAAGTTCTGCACTGATATAATGCTACCTGGATGATGATGTCTTAACATTTCTGGATTTGTGTCTATATCTATCTATGTTTGACTTGATTAAAAATGTTTACATTTAGCTAGAAAATAATTCAATCTATGTTCACTTAATATAAAAGTTATTGATGTGAAATTCATAATCAAGTGATGCTTTTTTGTTTTTGGGGTTATGGAGAGCATCATAAATCTTTGCTATGGATTGATGGTAGGTGATATAGTAATCAACCGTCTTTCTCTTACTCCTTCTAAAGGTTCCCTGAAACCCCTCCCCCCTTATGTGCATATATATAAATGTGTTTCATTAGTTCAAATTTATGCAACTTTGTTGCAATTCGCATGCTAATCTTTAAAGTAAAAGTATTTTCAATTTTTCTTATTGAAGCATTGTACGTTGAAAAGACTACCCAATTAAATTGCAGTGTTATAGTTATCTTTTTTCTAACCCTGTTTTCTTCTACATCTTCTCACCCTATTTATGCTGCAAATGTATTATTAAGCTGCAGTTCATTCCCAATCTAAAAATCTTGTAGGTCCAGATGCTGCTGTGAATCAATCTTCTGCACAAGCCATATTTTATGTGCCATAGACATTGCAGATATTTTAGTTTTTCACCCTTTAATGCTTTTAAATGGTTAAATTTCTGATTAGTTGCTAATCACTTTGACATTTCAGTTGCTGAGCTTTTTGTCAGTGATTCCTTCTGATAGTGGTTGATGGTTGTTAACCTTCTGATGAATGTGGTAAGCTTACCTATTAATTGATCGACTTCTGCCTCTTCCATAAGTTCTACACTTAACGACGACATCACACTTGCAAATTTATCCATGTTTTTGTAATCTGACATGTCACCCTTTTGAAATACAACAAATCCTTATACAATTCTCAGTCATTATTTACTTAAAATCAAACTTTGTTATGCTTCACAAATTATTTATGTGTTCTTTGATCATACGGTTGATTCCTTTGTTGTTCTTTTCGTAACACCATGAAGTTTTTTAATAGTATATATATTCTAATAGTTGAGGATCTTTCATCTTTGCTTTCAAATTTGCTATAATGTTTCAAATTTAGTATGCCTTGTGTTCAATATTTTTGATCCTATATATATATATATATATATATATATATATATATATATATATATATATATATATATATATATATATATATATATAACATGGTATTTACAAGCCATGCAATTTTTATCATCTTATAATCGAGATATGACCTAATAATGTCACTGATAGTGCTCATATTATAATTGTTTTTTTTTTCTATAATCTCACAGTTTAACCGTATGTGTGTAAATCTAAACCTAATACGTTTAAATTATGTCTATGACACACTTTTTGTTTGTTTGTTTTTGTTTTATTGTTCTATTGTTTTTGTTTTATAATTGCATTTGAAATGACATATTTTTGGAATATCTTATGATATAAATTCCTATCTTGTAGAATTTGTTCTTATAAAAAAACAGTTTTAAAAGTAATAGTCTAACTTGAGACGTTAATTCGGACCGTACATGGTTGTTTTTTTTTTCTTGCATGGTTAGTCCCTATATATGTTAACAATTAAACACTTCCGTTGAAGCTCCCCACGTGCCTTAAACGCAGGGAAATTTTTGTCTTTTCAGGGGTGGCATACATGAACCAATGTAAAATCGATCTCTAAAGGTCATTTCATCCTCCTTCGACCTTTTCCATTGCACAACAAAACCCTAGTTTACTTTTCTACAATAGTGAACTGGAGGATTGGGTAAGATTGGGAGGAATACGATCTCTAAAGGTCATATGGTAAAATCTTGTACACTACTCTGTTGATCATCCATTATTTGTTCCCAAAAGGTTGAAAATTTTGAGGTTTTTAACCTTTTGCAGTTAATATTCTGTCAATGTTCTAGATATGATTGCACTCTGGAGGGGTTTTTACGAAGTTTTCAGACCACAAATACATCACGAGGAAGATGAAATATGTTGATAGCATTGATAACGACTTGTTGTCAGTGAATGATATAGATGAGATGATAGAAATGTTGATTGCGTATGTAAAATTATTTACTACTATTTCAAACGACCAACCTGAGATTTAGATTTTGGGTTGTATGCTTTGGC